CTCTTTTTTCTTTTATGTTCACTCTTTATCTCGCCTTCTACCCCCCCCCCCGAGGTTTTTTGTATCTTTTTTTTCTTTCTCTTTTTTTGCTTTTTCATTTTTCATTAATCTTTTTTTTTGTTTTTTATCTTTACTCCCTCCTACTGAATTTTTTAATTATGTAAGATGAAATAACAATAAGGATTAAACAAACAAACAAACGTTTTGTACCAGTAGCTCATGCTCACTGCAGGGAAGCTGGACTGGATAACGACTGCAAGATTTTGTTATTACTTGACAACTGTTCTATTCATCCTCCACTGAAATTCTCATAAAAATGTTTATGCCATGCGCTTTCCTCCAAATGTAACTTCATTAATTCATCAATGTGACCAGGGTATCCTTAGATCAATGAAGAGTAAATATAAAAACACTTTCTTAAGCAGCATGCTAGCAGCAGAAAACAGAAGCGTGGGTGTGCAAGGTTTTCAATAGCAGTTTAGCATGAAGGATGCTGTACATGCTGTTGCCAACTCAGGGAACACAGTGACGAAAGACACAATTTTGCACGACTGGCACAGCCTCTGCCTGCAATTATGTTCAGTGATGAAGATGAAGAAGGTGGTTATTTTGAAGTGTCAAGTGAGAAAAAAAAATTGACCTCCTTGCACATGCAAAAAAAATATATCTTCGGAGTTTACCACTAAACTGAAAGAACTATATCTAGGAAGTTTTTAACATCAATGAGGCTCCAGTTGGTCACTCATTGACCAATGGTGAAATAGCCAAAATGGTTCTCAATCAAAGTGACCATGATACTGACGGTGAAGATGACATTGCTGACACAGAATAAAAGGTGCTTATACACGACATGGTGAAAAAGTGTGATGGATGTATTGAGAGATTTGAACAGCAAGCGTCCATATCAGAACAAGAAATTATGTTATAAAATCAAAGAGAGACTTCTAAGACAAAACCCATTGGTAATGAGTTAGGTGACTCTGGACGAAACATTTTAATATCCATCCAGCAGAATGTCTCCTTATCCCTCAAAGACCACTTCTGATATTTCTTTTCACCTAAGCAATAACATACAGAAAACAGTAAACTTTCAATCAAAACACAGGGTTGTAGATACAGACAAAAAACCTGTAATTATTTGCTGTTGCTGTTGCTAAACAGGTAATACAGGTATTCTGGTCATGCTACTAGGCTGCTTACTTATCCTGAACACATTATTTTTTTCACTGTAGTAATGACATTTTTACTGCTAAATATTTATGTGTGAATAAGTGTAAGAAAAGTATTGCTTATCAGTAGCAAATAAATCTGGAGTCAGTAATGATAATGATGCTAAAACAGCCAAAGATTCTCCACACTGAGTAGCTGAGATAATGTAATCATTGCTTTCTGGTGGTTCAATGTACACAAAATGTTTTACATGCACAAAATGATATAAAGTGTACATGAAACACAAATTAATTTTATGTTTAGACTTGAATCCCATCTCCAAGCTATCTCTTGAAGTATGTACTGGTATATGCAAATACGGGTATTTCAAAATCCTTTCCCCCACAAAATCCAAAACACTTCTGGTCGCAAGTATTTTGGATAAGTGATATTCAACATATACATTCTACTCTACCTCTACAGCTGCTTTATGCCTAAGGCCTTAATACCACTTAATACTGCACTTGAGGAAGTGGTTTTATATCAACAAAAGCTCACGCGAGAATAACCAGTTAGTTTTTTTTAAGTGCTACCACATTTCTTTTTCTACCCCCTCTCCAGTTTTTCCCTCCTTTTAAGGCATTTCCTGCAGGCATGCTGCTGCAATCTGACATCAAGACTATATGTTTATTCAGCCCTCCTTTGCCATTCTCCCAATGCCAATGATGCTTAAAAAAAAACTGGAAAAACAGAGGCTAGTGGAAGCTTAAAAGACACAGTAAAAAAAGAAGCTTCACTGTCAGAGGCTTTTCTAACTGAGGTATCACTGTATACTATTTTACTAGAAAGCCATTCTACACAACTATATTTGAAATTTCCGAAAGTCCCATTACAAAAAGAATCTGGTTTCATTCTGAGTTTATTACATGTCACTGACTCCATCCTTCCCTTGCTCCCACCCCACAAGGGCAACTGGTGTACAATACAATTAGTTTCTCTCTGTGACACTGGGGAAAGAGGATGAAATAAAGTCGCCTCTCTAGCTAAGCCAATATAAACTGAAGCCTCTCAACTACACACTGACTTGAGGATTCTTGCTCGATGCCTACAATGGACTGGTGAAATTTTCCCTTTAGGCTCATGAGTCATTTTTTTCCCTGTATGTGAGGAAAGGATCAAAAGGGAAGGATTTGAAAACTCGAGGGATACAGATGTGGGTTAAATATTAGGAAGCCCTTCCTAATTACAGACAGCATGCAAACCAATTTGCAATGCATTCTATAAGCCCAAGGAGAACCTTTGATGTGCAGTTTCGGAGAAGAGCTATTTCAACCATGTGATGAACACTTTCTGAGAGATTTTGAAGGCAGTGTATGATACTGTATGAGGACTGGTATTCAAACAACTGGGAGAGCTGAGAAATCTCATTTCATCTGGATGAAAGAATGGCTGTGCATCTCAGTAACATAATTAATTGTTCTGAAAAGCTGTGGTCTTTCCTTCAAAAAAATCAAGTGAACTCTCTAGATTTGTAATTTCTATGAATCATCACATCCCATATTATGAAATGGTTGCAAAGTAAACGTGGACATACTGAAGAGTGCACTTTCAGTCATTGCCATTTAATAACATGGAGTGTGACCATCAGGGTTCTTTGTTTTTGTTTTCATGTAGGGTTTCTGAACTGAACCCCTGCAAATATGACGCCAGCACTGTAAATTTAATACATCTGCCAGAGATACTTTAAATCTTCATGCAAAATTAATCTTTCATCTAATTTAGGGTTTGGCAGAATGTAGATCCAGATTCTGGTAGAGTTCTCTGTGTTTTAGAATAGCTCTCCATTGGTTTCTTACTTTGACAAAAACATAGGGATCTTTTTAAAAAAAACCACAACTGCGATATAGCTGAGCTTATTCATATTGTTTATGCCTCAGACTCAGTGTTCCTAATCTGTAAAATTGGAATATCAGGAAAATTGGTTGGATTTGGGGAGTTCCTTGTTCAAATGGCCTGGTTATTTTCAGAGTGATGTGTTAGAATGGGAAGTCTATGGAAATTAATATGCAAAATTCTCTCTCAGTGTATGGCTCACAGTTTGAAGTAAACAACAGACGCCTGGCTACCACCACGATTTTGTACCAGACTCTGGTTGGCAGAGCTCAACCTTCTAGGAAAAAACAAATCAGATTAAATAAATATGACATCTGCTTTGTCATAGGCTAGACAAGGCAGGTGTCACTTATAAGTCTACCACTGTGGCATTTTGAAATGAGAAAAAAATCTCTGCCACATTTTGTGAAGTCTTTTACTGTAGTCCTACTAAAATAAGTGCCATTCTTCATGAAGATTCTTAATGAAAAACTTCCACTTGAACAAATCTTCAATGGGAAAAAATATTGAGATCTCCATGAGTTTCTAATTTCTAAAGTCAGTGAGGAACTTGTTCTTAGAATCAGGAAATTACTGGCAACCAAGTCCACAGGTATGTATTTCCCACCCCAAAACAGATAACAGATTTTTGTGAGTTGTTTGTCACAATTAGAAAAATCTGGAAAACAAAATAGAATAGAGTGATTTGGGAAACAAAACAAAACAAAACAAGGCTGTTTCATTTACATAAACAAACCAAATCACATATGTTTAGGTCACATGATCAAACCACTGTTTAATTAATTTTATTTAGTTTAATTGTTGTGCTTATGAATAATACTAAGCCAAACATTTCTGGCTTAAGGAACTATGCATTTAAATTGGCTTAGAGTTCTGGGCTTGATGAGAAAAAATTAGCATAATTCCCAATATGCATATAACAGAAAGCTATGGATTATTGTTGCTTTCTTATTAGAGTCTCTGCTGGAATAAAGGAATGAGTAATGTATGAGAAATGGGTTCAGTTTTTATCCATAAATTGAGTTAGTGTAAATACAGCCAATGATGACATGTACAACAGCATTGCTGAGTACAACCCCGCCAATAAACCTACCAAGACAATAACACACAACAGCTGAATTAAACCTCAGTAAACTATGTTTGAATCGGACTTATGCCACAAGACACTAATTTCCAATATCAAAACAGAAACTGCATAGAATATCAGATGTAGAGCCTAGTAAGTCAATACCATTCCAAACAAAATTTGTTTAGTTTATATCCGAACTTTCTCCCAGTATAGCCCAAACAGTGTCCAACATAATGAACACAACCTTTGAAATATTTGTATTGAAATGCATATTTTGTTTCTAAGCCTCATACTGATTTTTTTTATTTATTATTTGCAGTCAAACACAGCTAGGAAATCCTTCCTTTTTGTTGATGGTAACTGCAGTCTAGCAACCCTTTTGGGCAGAAGGAATCCCACAATCTCCTCTTTTTCTTTCTTTAAAGATATGGCTGTGTAAATGGAACTATTATTGTTGCTAAATGAAAACAGAAGGCCCATGGCTGCATTCCAGAATATGAACACTACCAAAAGAAAACCCAGTAATTTATAAAACAAATTAGGAATTGCTGTATCCTCTGCAATATGTGTGCATGTGTTTGTGTGCACATGTGTGCATGCAGATTCTGTAAACATATGGATTTTATCCAGTTTATAGGACCGGGTTTCCTCTAATATCTAGCACTGCTCACTTATTTTTCTTATTTCAATATTTATATCTAGTTGGTTCTGTAGAGCCTTAGTTAAGCTTTATCTACTTTAATTCAAAATACATGCCATTTTAATGGATTCAAGTTAGGAACTGGGCAATATATATCCATCTCCTAAATGATGCCTTAACAATTTTCTTCTGCATATGCAAGTCAATGTTAGCAATGATAACTACACAGAGCAAGTTAATGTACAGTACCTCTATCTTAATTCTCTTTGGTGACAGCTCATCTCTTTCTCCACATTTCGACCTAAGAAATGAAAACACATTTTTACACTAGATAGTATACACTACCTTCAAAAAAATGCATTTCTTGTGAATAACATAGAATCCTAAAAATATATTTTAGGATAATTTCCCAAAGAATGGTCTTCAACTTGAATTACATGATCAGTAGACGCAAGGCATTCAATCTCATCATCTTAAGACTGGGGTTGCTTGAAAGGACTTTGCACGTTTGGTTGTTCCACCAGAGAGCATAATAGATAGGGAAGAGATTTTAAATTTCTCTTTGAACTTATCTTTGGAGTGAAGTTAAATATATGAAAAGTATATTTTTCTACAACATTTTCACATAGCATATCATGCAAAAACATATGTGCAGATAAATCACACAGCCTTTTCCCTTCACAAAGGGTAGTGTGGCACATGCCTACGCATAACTGTGTCACAAATGTAACATCAAAGGTGCCATGGGAAAAGAGTGAACTTTCACGTTTCTCCACCACATTAACATTTAGTCATGTGTATGAATCAGGTCTCCATTGCAAAGAATTGAACAATTAACAATAACCCCAATTAAAACACGCTGGTCACTTAAAAAATAAGTAAGTATACGCTTACTTGGTGGTCCGGTAAGTATACTTGTACGTAACTTCTCGAGAGATTTGCCGTGCCAGTGCAAAGAGCTCATCCCTCCGGGTCAACAACGCATTATCCTTTACACACAGCTGAGCAGCTGCTTCATTAACTGTGAGCTAGAGAACAGAACACAAGGAAAGTTCAGTGCCTTGGCCATGTCAATCCCAGTGCGGAGGGAGAGTACATCAGCAGTAAGAATATAACAACATCAAGAAATGCAAACTGCAAGAGCGGGGAACATACAGCCCTCTGAAAGTTGAATGACAGCTCCCACCAGCCACAGTCAGTGTGGTCAACAGTAATAGCTGAGAAGAGTTGCAACCCAACATCTGGAGTGTCCCATATTTCCCCATCTCCAGCATATGATTCTGGGGAAGTTTCATTAGATTGTCATTAAATTATTCCTCTAATAGACAGGGGCAATCTGTAGCCCTCCTGAAGTTCTTGGACTACAACTCCCACCACAGTAACTAATGGTGAGAAACATTGAGAGTTACAGTCGAAAAACATCTGCAGAGAGTAAAAGGAGATATTAAAGACAATGCTCCAGAAACTAAGATCAGATGAGAATCAACAATGACCCAAACACTTACATTATGGCTCTTTCAGCTACCTATTTATAGTAGTTAGATGAATGAAGTGATGCAGGAAGACGACTATACAATTTATATGACATACAATACTCTCTATAATAAACCTTCTCAATGATGGGAGAATACCTGTGAATCTGGGGCTGCAATTGCACATTAGAACTATCAATAAATAATACCCAGTTCTGTACTACATCTTCTGCACTGTAACACTTTTATGGTCATTTTGGAAATGCAATGTCCACAACCCTGCACGACTCAGGAAAGCACAACAATTCTGCAAACCGAACAACAATATACTGAATTATTCACCATTCCCTGGGCCTACCATAATGCCACTGAAGTCCCTCCCCATGGAAACTAGTGCCCAGAAGAGGTGGGATTCACTGAAATATCTGGATAAGCTCACACGACCAGGTATGAAGGAAATACATCATCCACTGAGACCTACCAGAGTCTCAGAGCCTGAGTCTCACATCTGTCTACAGCTGGGCTCATGAGGTGAAGGACCCTCAGTTTAGTATTATGGAAACTGAGGGTCCTTCACCTCATGAGCCCAGCAGCACCACAGACCTCATCTCTGCACAACTTAAAACAAAGAAGGGAATAAAATTACACTGTGTAACGCTGAACTCAATATTGTTTTCCTTACTTTCAAGTTCCCACAAGCTGCACCAGGGAATTTGGGACTAATAGCTTTGAACTGATCTCAATAACTACAAAGATCTCAGCTAATGAGCCCTAATCAGAATGAATCTTCATGTCACAAAATGAAAGCTAATGAAGGGAGTTGTACTGGCTTATGCTGGAATTTGTTCACATTCACTTTATAGCAGTTAGCCATTATACAATGGGACAGATGGATCTGGGGGAATTGAGTAAGTATTAAAAGAGCTGGGAAGCTCAAATAACCCTTTAAATTAATGAAAGTCCAAGATCTCCAAAAATGAATAGATTCCATGTAAAAATAACAGTGGAATATGTCCGTCAAACTTGATCACATTTTAGCAAATATATCATTGTTTGTAATCCTAAGCAAATTTACTTGATATTTTGATGAATAGGCTTTACTTCCAAAGGATATTATATCAAATGGTCAGCAATGTTCAAGTTATATCAAATGGTCAGCAATTTTCTATATCTAAGGACTGAAATGTTTCATGGCAGCATTGCACAAGTACAGAAGAGTGCTGTCATATTTGCTCTCCCTCTAAGGAGCTCAAGAGAGCATAAATAAGCCATCCTATTTTATGCTTGCAAGTATACTGTGAAATTCAGTTTGAGGGTTACTGTATATACTCATGTATAAGTCTAGAAGTGTTAATCAAACTACTGACCCAAAATCATAGGTTGACATATCAATAAAGTACTTTATCAACAAAGGAACTATCCCCATCTCTTAGAGTGGTAAAAGCCAAGCTCCTATACATTCCTGAGAGAACCTTCCCTTTCACCAAAAAGCACTGGTACCCTCTACTTTCCCCACCACAATGCTGCTTCTGGCCTTTTTGAATGCATCAGTGGCCAGAGGCAAAACTGGCCCTTTCTCCTTTCCACATAATGGCCCTCAACATATCCATAGATCACATCAAAATCCCTAATTTGGGCCCCAAAACCTGTCCTCGATTAATAACGCACAAGGCAAACATATATAAGTGCATATGGTACTTCCTCAAAATCACTTTTTATGCTCCTTGGCCGTATCACACTTTACCCATTGAATCATGTTGGCTTCCACATTAGAAGCACCCTGAAAACCACCACCTTCATTAAAATAAACCAAATTTCTAGTTCTTATGCTAAAGTCAAGTTTGACAGCAATCTAAATAGTACCTGAGAAATTCTTAGAGATGAGATAGAAAACTAAATTAAGTGAGAAGCCTTCTGCAATCCAGTTTCCTGCTGCTCCTCCATAGTTAGCAGTATAGGATTATACAAACAATGCATCTATCTTTTTAAGATGTATAATTTATGCACCTCATAGAATTCAGGTGTACTTGGTGCAAGGTTAATTTGTTTTTAAGCACAAAGAATACATTGCCCTTACCACAATGAGCTGTCAAAGTTAGCTTGTAATAAAGTAAGTGGAATGGTCTCTAAATGCTTTTATTGTCTATTTTAGTCCTTGCTTGAGACAATCACACATCTCCTTTCCACCTGGATACTCATAATCTTAAGCATTAATAAAAATCTACACAATGTCTGTACAAATTGAAACATACCTTCAGTTGGTTTTAAACTATTTTAATTGGCATACTCAGGTATCCATTTCATTTTCAGATACCTTCTCTAAACAGAATACCAAACTATAAAAAAAGCCAACAACAACAATAGATCAGGTAGATCTTGATCATTCCATTTGTTGAGTTTTTTTATCTTAGAGGTCTACACATATTTTACACATGGAATATGAACAAAATCAATACTATAAAAAATAAAATTCATTTAGACCATATATTTTATTCAAAATATGGCAACCCTAATTTACCTTATACTTTAAGACAAGATAAATAAATGTTGCTAACTATCCTATTCATTCAAAATAGAGCCATTGTCTGATTTTTCTTTTAAATGTACAACTCCTATTGGTTAGCCTGACCGTCTAAACAAGGAAATCAGACAGCTCCCAGCATACAGACATACAATGGCACAACAACATGAATAATTTAATCATGTAATAAACAAATGAAATTATCTGGCACAGAAAGACACCATAAACCATGGGGTGGGGAGAGGGGGGTTCTATCAATAAAACCTTAACTAGCTAAATAGATTTGTCTTATTTCACATTTATAAAAATGTGGTTCAGAGGAGAAATTATTTCTTCTTTAGGAAAAGAGAAAATCCCTTGTTATCAAGCAATAAGGAATTGGTATCTGCAGCTCAATTCTACATAAGCCTCTATGAAACATGGAATCTGGCCCCTTGCATCTATAAGGATTTTCAGATAAGCAGGGATAAGGAATACATTTGTGAGTTACTGATAGTCTGATTGATTCTATACATACCCACATACAAGAAGAAAAGATGCTAACTCTTCCTGGATTTTTCATGCACTTAAGTAGCTACAGGAATGCTCAAATAATATAATCAGTTATTCTAAAGGGGGCTTTGAAAATGTTGGAAAATTTATGCAGAATGAGAGAGTAAACACCTCTTGTAAATGTTGGTTTTAGGACTTTCTCACAGGATGTTCACTGCAAACACATTGCATTTCACAAACAGGTACCATAATAAGGGCTGGGCTTTACCACAGCAGGCTAACCACTAGCTGCAATAAATCCTGCCAATCAAAGGGTTGGCAGTTCGAAGCCCAGGTTGGGGGTGAGTGCCCAATCTTCAGCCCAACTTCACCGCCCACCTAGAAAATCAAAAACAGCAGTGGATAGATAAATAGATACCTCTTAGGCAGGAGGTATTTTAATGGCACCATAAGGAAATACCAGAAAATGCTGGTGATTCAATCAAAAGGAGGTCTGTGAACAGGGCTCTTTGGCATGAAGGATACAGCAACAGAACCCCACCCCCACCCCCCACCCTGTGGCTGGAATCGAGCACAACCTCCAAGATGCCGAATATGGGAAATGCCTATACACCTCTATCTGTGCTGTTGGCCGTCCTGTCAGTGTATATCCACCCTGAGTCTCCTTCAAGGTGAGAAGGGCGGAATATAAATACTGTAAACAAATAAACAAATAAATAAAATAATTAAGATACTCGCTGAAGAGGGAATACATTTTCAGTACAGTTTCAACTCTCTATCTTAATTCTTGGAAAAGAGAAGTATGCAATCACCTTCGAGATGACAAAACATATCCAACCCGCAGAAATCACTGTATACAGTACAACTCCCAAATATGTGGATAATAGTGTATCCTACTGAACGAATGACATCCAGTGGAAACATAGTTTGAGGGACTGTGACCTGGCCCTCTGTTTAAAAAGTTTGAGGACCCCTGATTTAAAATATAGAAAGTTTTGTGTATATGTATGTGTCACATCCTTCTCTGAATATATTTTGATAATAATTGACAGGACCCATGGCAGCCAACTCTTTCAAAACCACTCCATATTTTCCCCCACATAACTACTTTTAGAACGAGACAGATTTTCCTAAGCAGTAAAATGGGCAAACATTTAGGCTACCAACCCAAGAATAGATGTTTACCAAATGCTATCAAATAAACCACATTTACGGTTTTGAACATTTGGTATTTAACCACAATGTAAGATAACAATATGTGTATACAAGCAAGATGTTAGGGTTGGAGAAATAAAGGAAGACTGGAAGTTGTTTTCATGCCTTGTGATCATGTAGGCATGTTCTGCAAACTGGTTTACGAACAAGCTTAGGACTAGAAAATTACAAGCCACACCTTACCCTTATATGTTACAATTCTACTAAATCGCAAGAGGTAGAGGTGGGGGTAATGTAATGTATACCTTTTTTGACAGAAGTGAAATTGTATGTGGAACAGTAGCAGGAATGTCTAGATCAGTGGCTCTCAACCTGTGGGTCCCCAGGTGTTTTGGTCTACAACTCCCAGATATCCTAGCCAGTTTACCAGCTGTTAGAATTTATGGGAGTTGAAGGTCAAAACATCTGGGGACCCACAAGTAGAGAACCACTGCTCTAATGAAGATACTTCATCTGTTTTGCATTGATTCCATAGATGTATGAGGAATTGTTATGGAAAAAAATGAACTGAGCCAATCCACAAAGAGCAACACATTACTAGATTCAAGAGTGCTATTTCTAGCATATACAGGCAGTCCCTGAGTTACAGACATCTCATTTACAAATAATTAATAGTTAAGAACAGGGGTAAGACAACAGTAAGTGAGGGCCCTTCCAGATGGGCCCTTTATCCCAGCATCTGATCCCAGGTTTTCTGTTTATCTCAGATTATCTGGCAGTGCGGACTCATATAATCTGATTTAAAGCAGAAAACCTGAGGTCAGATCCTAGAATATAGGGCCTTTCTGGAAGGACCCTGAGATAAATTAACCACTAGGAAGGGAGATTTTATCCTGAAAGAGTTATCATGGGGAAAAGGTGTCTCCACTGAAGCTTGACCACTAATCCTTGTTTCCACAACAGCCAAGCTTTACAAAATCCAATGATTACAGGGACAGAAAGACAGGTGAAATCTTCTGGACAGGGGCACAGACAGCTTATGCCCTTCCCACGGACATTAAGCTAGCACCATCTCTAATGGTATTCCGCAAAAAAGTGAAGACCTGGCTGTTCAAGCAGGCGTTTGAATAACTAGTGCAATGATTGGTAATGAACATAGGAATGGAACAATGGATAACGAATCTGGATTATGTTTTTGATAATGAGACGACTGTGATCGGTTATCGTAGTAAGTGTTTATTGATTGGGTAATGTGTTAAGTTGTTAATTGTTGTTATATTTTGCATTGAATTATTGCTGTTTTTATTGGTTGTGAACCGCTGTGAGTCGCCTTCGGGCTGAGAACAGCGGTATATAAGTAAAGTAAATAAATAAATAAAATAAAATTCACATTAAGAACTGGCAGAACCTATCTTGTTTGTAACTTGGGGACTGTCAAAACAGGAAGCCTTTTGGAGCTATGTCCACCATACTGACGGAATCTACTACAAAATTATGTAAGTTTCATCTATAAAAATAAAAACAAAGTACTTCCCTACATTTTCTTCAACTGTCTAAAGACAACAGGGGAAAATCTACATTCATTCTGGTATCTTTATTAATTACTTGGTGGGGGGGGGGAATCCTTGCCCTTTTCAATTTTAAAACATTCACAATTGATTCACAAGGTTTTGGTCTATCGCTACCAGTGATGCTCTGAAGTTAGGCAGTGTTTCTTTTTCAGGAAATCTTGCTCAGCATTGCACCTTTAGGTGCTCCTGGTTAAGATTCACATTACTGCCACACTCACAAAAAGAGAAGTTATTAGTCACTCTGAACAGGTTTTAAATAGTTGGGGAGAGGGAATTCTATGCATTTTATCTATCGAAACCAGATCCAGAATCTAAGAGGTTAAAGAATTGTAAAGTAATTAAGGGAACTGATAAATACTTAGGTGTAAATGGTCAACTATAAGCCATTTTACATAAATAGGACAAAAATTGGGAAGAGAAGCTAGATTTGGATGGAGAAAACCCAATGCATTTAGCAAGTGAGACTAAACCAACTCTTACAGTCTCCTAAAATAGTACAGAATACAGGAATAAGTTGTTGATACTAAACTGTCCTTCTACTGCAGCAAGCCATAATTGGCCTATAACCCATCATTAAATGATGATGTTCTCCTGAAAGAAAGTGTGGGTGGAAAACCGCTATGGCCTTTAGACAGCCAACTACCTTGAAAGAACTGCTCACTAGTAATCAAATCACGGAGGGACATCTAGAGGCACAAAGACCTTACGACAAACAAAAAGATTATTTTTATGTCCTTTGTTGAAAACTGAGGAAAATTGTTCCTATTCAGTTTTATAAAGATTCCTTCACTTGCCACTGCTTCAAAGAGGATAATAAAGAGACCTGGAATTCCAACCAACTCATAACACTGTAACCTTCCTCAAAATCAAAGTGTGTTGATGTATGTAGGTGGAAGAACGGAATGTAAAAATCTAACACTGTGAACTAAGATTGCAACAGATCCAGTAGACTCTACTCCCTTTATATAAAGATGCATCATCAAATGACAATTTTCCAAGACAAATAATGTAACTGGTTTTTTTCAATTTCAACAACGTAAAATTAAATGTGAAAACTCATTTTCTTAAACAAGGTAAATCTTAAAAGATGCTACAAAAACAAGACTTTTCTTGATCAAACATTCACAAGGAAACATTATTCTGAACCCAAATGTTGTAAGTCATACATACAGGGATCAATTTTAAGGTAAATAAAATAGTAGACAACTAGATATCCAAGTACCCTATCATTTAATGACTTAGAAAATAAATAATACAAAACATTTATGTGTTACAGAATTCTCTAAAAATGTGTTTTTCAGGCAAAGTTTTCAAACAGTCTGAAAAGATGTTCCTCAGGAAGAGTATCATCCGGGGTTTGCAGTATTTAAATTCCACGAGAACTGTTAGTCTAGACCACAACCCACCACAGACCTAAACACACTCTGGTCCATTGGTTGTCAACAAGGTTAAGCATGCTTTACTCTACTGGATGCAATCACTTTTAAAATGTGCCCTCTTTCTTTCTTTGCTGCATTTTCCAGATGGTATTACAAAACTTGCAAAGGAAAATTAAAAAAAATCCAAACAACTGAAATAAGACAACACTGGTGCAAAATTTGCTTGCACACCTTTTACACGTTCAGCTAAAGCATCATGCTGTGAAAGGACATCAAAATAGCAATCTAACAGACAGCATCTGCCATGCAAAACAGAAAAAGATAATGCAAAAATGAACAGTTGCTTAAAAAAAATAAGGAATATTATGTATAACTGATTGAATTGACAGACTGAATGTTCAACCCAGAATCCCTGAACAGTTGATTTTTACTCAGGAAATGCAATAATACCCAGGAAGAAAGACTGAAGATCAAGAATAATTTTAAGACACTTTTAGGTCTTTATTCATATGTGTAACCCAATGTTCCCCAAATTGGTGCCCTTCAGGCATGCTGGACTACAACTCTCATAATTCCCAAGCAGCATGCCCAATGGTAAGAGCCAGTGTAGTTGAGTGCTGAATTATGTCTCTGGAGGCCAGGATTTGATTTCCCACTCAGCTATGGATGACCTTGGATAAGCTACACACTTTCAACCCCTGAAAATCCTGTGAATAGGTTCAACCTAGGGTTGTCATATGCTAGAATGGATTTAAAGGCACACAACAACACCAATAAGATGCCCAATAATCAGTTTTGAAAAGGCTGATCTAAATAAACAGAACATGTCACTTGATGAATAAATGCGAAACAGTCTGTCTTCAACAAATTACTAATCTTTGCTAAGAAAAAGCAAAGTTCAGTAGCAGTGGCATAAATAAGATATTTGAGTATCATAAAAGGCATGGAATGGCAGAATGCAAAATAAGTTGTCTATAAAAGAATTTAGTTGTATCCCAATTGTGGACACCATAGAACATAGCCATGTAGGGAGAAGATGTTCCCCAAAAGACATCTGACTGGCATGCTAGATGATGTGATATATCAAAATCAATATGTTAAAAGCCCTACCTGATTCAAGACTTCATACTGCCCTGGTATTGCAATGAAAGTACCAATCTTCCCCTTAATATGTGTGATCTCTGAGGGGAAAGTGCGGAGTACGAGATTAGAAAATGAACAAAGAAAATTGATTGGTGCTCATATCATTTTACCTCGTGGAGGGTGAGATGTTTACCATCCTTTCTTTTGGAGTCAAATCTGCCATATATTGCGCTGTACTTCCTAATTTCCTCTTCTTTGTGAGGGTCCTCGTCACTCATCTCAAAGATGTGACCAACCATCTTGGCCAGTTTTTTATTGATTTTCAATAGTTCTTTTACTTCATTCAAGTCACTTTTGGGGAGGGTGGGAACCATACGCTCAACACACTCGGTCACTGACAAAGCGGCTGCGGCATCCAACGTTTCCGAGTTCTCCTTTGGGGAGGCAGGAGAACCAACATCTGCTGGAGAAAGACTGTGCTCACTCTCTGTAGTGTGGTGTCCTTGCCATAGTCTCTGATCACTGCTGACCTGCAGGGGCAAGTGTCCTATCCCATCAGACTTGCCTGCCCCCACACTCTGGACACATGTCGTGGCAGCACATTTTGGAATCTTCAAATGAGGCTCACGTGTGCTACTGTTCCTGTCATAACTATTGCATGATATTCCCAGCCAAGTTGGAGATCCTTCCGGTAACTTGTATATTGGAATGCTACTGACCGGTAAGGAAGTCAGGGGCTGGTTAAAAAGGCTGGGATTCGTGACCCAGTCTCTCAAGGCCTTTTGCAGTCTTCGGACATGAAGTGGTTTGCTGGCCATGCCAACAAGGGCCATGATCTCAAGAAACTCCTCTTCACCTGCCTCACATAATTGCTGGACATCATCGCCTCCCTGCTGAATGAAGGCATCAAAATAAAATAAGAGATTGGCTTTCTGTAGTATTCGATAAAGCTGCAACTCTCCAAGGGTTCTGGGTAGTGCTGCTGCCATTGTGGATGGAGAAGCCTGCAAAAATAAAGCATATGAGCAATGAAATAAAATGTTTTCTAACACACACTGATCTTTATGAACAATTTCTAGTTTTGATGTCATTGGTATAAATAGAGTCTTGGGCTAGAAACTGGCTGGAACCCTACTGAACTATCAACTTACTTGCTGACATCAACCAAAGTCACTATCACAATTTCCCATCTCTGAAATAGAATATATAATAACCTTATGTCATAGAGCCACTACATGAATAAAATATATTAATAAAGCTGGATGAGATGATTTTAAAAATGATAAATGCTGGAGAAGGGCTGAACTCGATGTTATTGTACCCCAGTATTTTTCCAAGAAAAAAGGTGTCACTAGGAAAATGGATCTGACTTGGGCTGAGATCCAAAGGGTTCTCCTACTTTCAACAGCCATCGACTACTCATAAGAAAGTTTTCCTGATGTGAACAACTTGTCAACACCCAATTTCCACATCAATAAGGAAAATAAAAGCTGTCTACAGATAATCACTTTTCGGAAGCAGACAGAATGACTTGAACCTGTGCATTTGTGAAATCATCTAGCCTGATTCAGCACCAAGTAGATAAATAACCATAAAAAGAAAGTTGGGCAATTGTGGCCCTCCAGAGGTCTTTGGCCTTCCAACATCAATATGGCCAATTAGATTGCAAGAGATGCGCTCCAAAAACATTTGGAGGACCACAACCCTCATATTATGCAACCTTTTCCAATCTAATATTCGCTATATGTATAGAACTAAACTAGAATTCCTCCCAGTCAGTTATGGTGATATAACACATCTGGAGGACATAAAGCGGAAGACACTTGCTCTGAGGTGTCATAGAAAAGTAGGTGCATATGTGTCACTTATTTATATGCCTCATTTCAAGATTGGCCACAGATAGGGAAAACCACACCCCATATTATTAAATTTTAGTGATGTGGATATACACGTATCAGCACGTCTGAATTCACATCTCTGCCATTTACTAATATGGAAAATAATGATCCATTCACTGGATATTGCAGGTCGCGATTTCATGGATGGGTGGGTGGTGTATATTTTAATAAATCTCAGGATTCATTAAAAGACAACAAAACCAGAAGAAAACGGTCTAAGGAAAATGCAAAATTTTTGGAGTCAGCTTCTCCTAAATCTACAACATTTCAAATACTTCTATAGTTGATTAAAGGAGGTCCTTTCACTTGCAGTTTTTACAGAGCATTATTGCATACTCATTGGTTTTTTCTTTTCTTCAATCATTACCAAAAATTTAAAACATTCTACAGTTGAACATTGTATTTCTAACAGGTGCAGCCTTTCCAAAATGTCTACATTTCCAACAAAGAATTCCTATGATCCAACCATACTTAAGAAAAAAAGAAAACTTATTGATCTAAAAGACTAGACTTTTTTACTCCTTATAGATGTAATTTAGAGGACGCTATTATTGCCCCTGGTGTCCTATGAATTACAATCTCAGACCCCATAACTCTGCAACTTTCACTGAATCCCTAAATCACTTCATTTGAATATTAAATACTGAAGATTACTCATTCTTACAAAGTTTAAACTTAGTAAGAATGAAGAACTGTAGTGTCTAATTCTCATACATTCACAAGACAGAGATTGCTCCTCATACATTTCTGCTTTTAAACTACCATATTTCATTGTGTAATAGTTGTGCCCTCCCTTTTGCGGTCCCAGTTTGGGGATTTTTATATTTCCTACGTAACAATCACATCCCTGCCTGCATTCCTACCCCTTGGAGCAGCCCCTGTAGCTCAGAGAGGCAGGCACATCGGAGAGTGAAGGTGCAAGAGCTGGGAGGCTTTCCTCACTGTTGCCAGCTAATCCAAGGCTGATCAGCTGGCAACAATGAGGGAAGTTGAGAAGCCTCCCAGCTCTCTCCAGAAAGGGGAGGGAAGCCTCCAATTTTTCACCACGTAATAGTTAGACTCCCCTTTTTTTGAAGGGGAAAAGGTGTGACTATGATGCAGTGAAATATGGTACTTAGGTTATTAACTTCCCACCTTTCAGTCCACAAGAGGCCCTGAGGAGCTGTACAATATGAAAAAATATAAATAAAAACAACCTTTGTAAGCAAATCAATATGACACTGAAAACATACAAACATACATATCTGATCAAAGCAGTTGGAAAAGCCTAATTTTTATAAGACCACAGGCCACATGAAACAGCACCATCTTTACTGCCCAAAAGAACCAATATGAACCAATGAATTCAAATTATATGAGAAGAGATTCCACCTAAACACAAGGAAGAACAATTTATTTCCTCCAAGTATCTGGAAATTTTAAAACAGAAATTAGAAGGGCCATCTTTCAGGGATACTTCAGTTTTGTATTTATGCATGGCTGGGATTTGAATTAGCTGGCCTTTACAGTCCCTTCCAGGAAAAGGATTCTAGGATTCTACAGAAATACAAGAGGGACAAAGCGTGACATCCCCAAGGTACATATTCCACAGCATACTATAGATATTATATTGTTATACAATTCTTAAAAAATCAAGGATGTACTGGTAAGCCACTTAAATTTGTTTTAACTAAATATATACGGAGGAGGGGGAAAGACTGAAACTTTAATAAAAGCTTCAAAACCCACACATTTATTAAATAAAATGAATAACTTAAATTAAAAAGAATAAGTTGAATTAAGTTTATTTTCAGCTCATGGTTGATGCATTCACTGCACAGATGAAAAAAGTTACAGTGCTGTAGCTAGTTAGTTTAAAGCTTAAATGCTATGGAACCAGTCTTTTATTATTTCCAATTTTAAAAGTCAATAAAATTCATTATTCAATAAAGACAGAATCTCTTACAAGAAATTCTGAACTCCTTAGACCCAATTTTGCAGAATGTTGAAACTAAGTATTCAGCTGTCCAAGAATTTTTCAATTTTTCAGTTGTGATGGGTGCATTGCTTTCTGTTTAGTAAAATAAGATTCCTACAACTTTCCTCACTTTTTGTCTGATTCAAGTAAGCTTTGTGCATATATTTGTATAGAGAGAGTGTTCCCTTTCTCTTATGCAAGAAAAATAAAATTTAAAAAAAACTCGCGAATTAAATATATATATAAAAGAATTTGAACAAGGTTGCAATCTGACCTACGCTTATCTGGGTGTGCATTTCATAAAATTCATTATGACCTCTTACCGAGGTATCCCACATGCAGTGACTTAAGGTGTACAACAATTTTTATAAAGAATTAAACACAGCAAAAAAAGATTACATGGCTTGTGCAATCCCATTACTGCTTGCTTGCATAGTAGGAAAGGCGCCAACAAACAATATTGGATTGCATTAAGTGACACCATGGAGCACTCTATAGTAAGTGCAAGTGTTCCAATGCAGAGAAAGTCATTTAAACAAGTCAAAAGAACTATCATATTTGCTTGTTTCATGGGAACCCTTCCTGAGAGAATGACACTGGACTGTAAAATTAAAATTCCTTGATTCTTAAATAAGAATCAAGGCAGGACACAATCCAGCAAAACTGAAGGGCCTTTATATCCTGTTTAGCTCAGGGAAATTGCGTCTCTCCCATATGAAGTTACTTTTAGAACTACAATTCACTGCCCTTGTATGGGGTTTCAAGAGTTGTAAGTTTTAAAAGCATCTTTTAACCCTGATGGTAAAAAGAACCTCACAAACTTTTTTCTTTACAAATTCAAACCTTCTGCAACACATTAGTGGGTCCACTTCCATGCTTTAAAAAAGCTTAAATCAGAAATGCCTTGTATCTGAAAACATCTAGTAGCCCCTGCCTCTTCTTCAATACAAGCTTAAAAGCATCACTTACTTCCATTTTCAGATGCTGTTAGCCTGTTTCTGTGATTCAGAAGCTCCACTCTATTTATTTATTTTTAAAGACTCTAAACCCAGCAGCAAGCTATATTATTACAGATTATGAGTAGAAACTCTAGGGACAACAGGTAGTACCATACAAGGGCTGAAGTCATTGGAGGAACCAATTCTTGTCAGGGTCTCTCTCAGAAATGCCAAAGCAAGAAATGTGAAAGAAAAGTGGGATGAAAGGGGATGAAAAAACAGCGTGAAAGATGTTTTGATTCCATTTCTAAATGAGGACTGAAGAAAACACTGGAGTCTAGACCATGGCCATACAGCCCGAAAAAACCGACAACAACCCAGTGATTCCAGCCATGAAAGCCTTCAACAATACATTAAAACACTGGAAATTTGAACACATCAATAAGGAAAAGATGAATACGTGAAACAATTGTTTGAGGGGCAGAGTAATAGCATGGTAAGAAATGGTTTTACTCATTATAGGCATATTAAAACAAAACAATCTTTAGCATTAGAGAATGGCAATTCCTGTGCATACTGCAGAATTCAACATTTTCAGTGTTGCTATCTTGCTTTACATTACTTGATTTCCAAATATCCTGATAGTCCTAAATATTACAATATGTTTAAACTCTACAAAGTTACAGTATTTTTGGTTGTTTACAAGCTTCTATTTTTCTCCTACCTCTCAGCGGGCATTCAGTAATATATATATATGTCCAGGAAGCTTAAAGTGCAACCACTGACTTTGCTGTTGCTACTAAGAGGTTGCAACGTACTTTATCTAAGTTGTTGTAAGGATCAATGTTGTTTGTGCTATACCTTTAACTTACTGTAAGGTTCAAGGCTGTTTGTGCTACAGCTGTTTCAGTTAATTGAAGAGTTAATTGAGAGTATTATTTTCATGTGTATAAAGATAGCTACTGTGTGTTTAGTTTTTGCCATTGTGCCTTAATGCCATTGTGCCTTAATGCCATTGTGCGTGTTTGCCTCTGTGCCGTTCTGTCGGGGACTATGCTGCAGATGTCCTGTGAAGACACAGCCTTGAGAAGAGGACAAGGATTCCTGCTTATCTCAGCTGAGTGGTGATATCTCTCAGAAGATATTGTTTTATGTTACTTTTGTGGAAACAGTAATCCTGCTACTTTATTTTGTATGCTGCCAATACAACA